ATCACTTTTCAGTTAAGTTTCATCACTTAAGAATAATTGTGTATTGATTACAGTATTCAACCAAAAGTATTAAGTAGAACAAAAAAAATACTAAGAGGGATAACATATTAAATTGTTCATCAACAGCCAGGGTGAGGGCTGATCAAGTCACTGTTTCCCATAGTGTTCATTTCACTTTAATATTAAATATTTTAAATTTTCCAAAACATCAGCCCTTTTCAGCCTTTCACACACATTGGTCCCTCCAAGTACCCTACCTTTCAGTTAGGGTGAAATGGAAGGACCTGTAGGACCCCAAAAACGGTGTCCTCTTGTGACGACCCCAGAAACACAGACTCCAGACCAGACGATGCAAAAGAACAGGAGGTAATTTTATTTTATTTGTGCAAATGGGCCCTCTACTGCTGCAAGCAGCAAGCAAGCGAGAGGAGCCCCGAGCAGCTATCTCACACAGCTTTTAAGGGGCAAAACCACAAAATTAACATACCATAGGGTGGCGTAAGTTTATTGGGCAACTATAAGGGGAGGAGGTCGTCGAGGAGGAGGAGAAACGGAAGCTTGGATAAGGGGAGGGGGTCATTGAAGAGCAGAAAGGGATGGCTACGTGCCCTACATGCCTCGCGGTTGTTTTTGTTAAGCTCGAACAAGCACAGGGGAGGGGGCTTATCTACATAGCAGGATGTTCTGTTGCCCATATCTCTGGTTAGTAGCTAACTGCTTTCTCTGTGAACCGGTTTACTCCCCATTTCCCAAGGCTGTCTCTGGAACTGTTTGTCTCAGGAGCCCCATTTTTTTTTTATTAAGGCTATTTTTATGATGGCCCACAGCTGCTTCTTTCAGACCCAGTAACAGATGCTGGCGAGGACCAGACCCACTGATGAGCGCTGGTGGAGGATGTGGATGTGTCTTCCCTCAGGGGATTTCCAATCCCATATGGGTACCTGCGAGAAACCTTAAATATCTCCCCTCTGCTGAAAAAGGTCACCCAGGAGGACCCCCTCCTGAGGAGTAATTTTTCTTTTCTCTTACAGTGATGAAAAGACCATATTCAACCCTCTGCCTCATTGTGACTGGATCATCATGGTACATTATTAGTGCTGCTTTTATGCTGATTGCTCCGGCATTGTCCAGGACAAGATCAAGACCCTCCAAGAAGACCTTAAAAAATGTTGTAATAAACTAAATTCTAGTTACCTGTGGTCTGGCCTTGGGGGATGGCTTCCTTATCTCCTCCCCTTTGTGGGCCCCTTGGTCTCCATTGTCCTTGTTAATTTGTCCAAGATCACATCGTTGTGGTCCAGTTAATGGTGGTCCAACAACAATATGCCACTCTTCAAGAACCGGGTTATGCTGCTCTTCAAGCACCAGATTGGGAACCCTATGCATCCTCCCACGGCCACTGCCAAGATGTAGAAGTATAATACATCATACACTGAGTAGCTGAGGTGGTAGCCAATGACAGATAAGATCCCCTGGGGCAGCCCTTAACAGCTGGAGTAGTAGTCAAAGATGGGCAAGATCCCCAGAGGGGGACAACCTAAGACAGACATGCTCCCTAAAGGGCTGATCCCAGTCAGAGGGGACAACCTAAGAGAGACACATTCTCCACTCAGTTCCTCTTTCTCTCTTTAATATAAAACAAAAAGGGGGAAATATTGGGTATTGCCTAAAACCTCCATTACAATATGGCGCGTGGCGGATGTTCGAGGGGCATTGTCTGCAGCTGCTGCGGTTAAGCTACATAAGATCAGACCACCGGCAGGGATAGGTCCACTTTGGTTCCAGACATGTGGACACTGTGTGATCCCTATACTTTGCTTAAGATGCCCCTGTGCGTGGTCCACCCATGCCTGTATGACCTTTTTGCTGATTGGCTCCCCTACTGTGCAAATCTTTTGTAAGCCTTATAAGCCTGTACACTTCCTCAATAAAGTAGTTCCTGCTTCGACAGAACTCATGGGTGCTTGCTGCGGTGTGCTTGACCCATCGACCTTACCTCTCCCATTCACCTTGTCAGGGAGTGCTTATACTGTCCCCTGCTGGTCAGGGGCCAGCCTCAGGCTGAAGACCCCAACAGAGATATAGTTCAAATCTTAAAAAAAAAGACCCGTAAACCCAGAATACTGTACCCTGCAAAGCTCTCCTTTATGAAGGAAGGTGACATAAAATCCTTCCATAACAAACAGAAATTGTCACCACTCATGCAGCCTTACAAAAGTTGTGCTATACACAGAAATATGGCCATCACTATGAAACAAGGTAAAGGCAGAAAATCTCCCAAGGAAAGTACAAAAGAAATTCAAAGTAAACAAAAGGAATATTTATATAAAAATAGCATGGATAAGTCATTACTTATCAATAGTCACCTTGAATGAAAATGTCCTCAACTCTCCAATTAAAAATACAGAACAGCTGAATGGATTAAAAATAAGACCCATCAGGACAAGAGCTGATCAAGTCACTGTTTCTCATAGTGTCCATTTCATTTCAACAAGTTTCACCTTTGGTAAGCTCTTGTCCTGATGGTTGATGTACAATGTAATACTTTATCCATTTTAGTATTTTTTTTTGTTCTAGTACCGTTGGTTGAACTCTGTAATTAACACACAATTATTCTTAGGTGTTTAAATTTTAACTGAAAAGTGTTCCCTGTTAGGAATTTGGAAAACATTATGCTGAGTGAAATAAGCCAATCCCAAAGGGACAAATACCAATTATTATCCTTGATAGGTGACAACTAACTGAGCACCAAAAAGGAAACCTGTTAAAGTGAAATGAACACTATGAGAAA